GAGCGTTTCACACAAACAAATGTGTTACTTCACAGTTTTACGACAATTTTTTTTTGTTTTGACTTGCAAAATTATTTTGTTTGTCAATTTAAAAGATAATTTTGCAAGTCAAAAAAATAAAAATGTGTCGTAAAACTGTGAAGTAACACTTTGTGTGAAACCGCTCAAAACTTAGTTTATGAGAACTAAAGAGTTCTCATGAACTAAGTTCTGATGAACCTTTGTGGGAATAGTACTGCGGTGTGAAAGCGCCTATTGTTGTGTTACAGGTCTTGTTGTTTGGTTGAGGGTAAAAAACATCTCAAACTTCGTGACTTTTCATAAAACGGGTATATTAATCATCGAGTGAGTTTTGGGGCATGGGGAATTAAGAGAGAGAGAACAAATCTATACTTTGCCGCCACACCCCGTTGCCAAGCACCTATTGTTTAGGTCGCGCAGCTCCGTGACCACCAGAAGCTCAGCCGCTGTAACGGACCGGTGAGCGGAGCAAAACACACGTTTCAAGTTAGACCGAACACACTTAGCTATTTTATCTCCTCTGGACAAACAAAGAGTTTGTTTTTGTGTCTCTGGGTTATTCCAGGGCTTCGGTTGAAACAGGATCTTTCCTGAGGTTTGGATCACGCCAGTTTTATATTTAAACGACAGTTTCTGTGAGGGCATCTCTTTGAGGATATGGGCACAGAGGTTCACTTTAATTACTGAGGGTTTCAGGGGCGCTAAAATAAAATGAAGATGCCCACAAAGCAGCCAGACTGCAGCCAACAGAGCGGCACAAATCAAAAGTGTTATATGAATAGTGTTTTTAAAAAGGCCGATGTGTGATGACGTGAAACTCTGCAGCTCTCAGAGAGGTTTAGCTTTAGCCGCTTTCAGCTCAGAGTTTTGGCTCAAAAACTACACCTTTCCTCTTTATTTTAATTAAATCACATTAACAACCTGTTTTTGAACACACTCTGATAACTCACACACACACACACACACACACACACACACACACACACACACCACACACACACACACACACCACACACACACACCACACACCACACACACACACACACACTACAGCTTAAACATTTCATATTAATAACGTAAATTACATGTTTTCATCCACTATGTGTACATCGACCATGTTTTGCAGTGGGACGTGTGCAGCTGTATTTATGCAGCAGTGGTTATAGCAGCCACACACACACACACACACACACACACACACACACCCACACACACACACACACAGTAATTGTGGTCTTTAAGGGTCTTTTTATAGAAGTTTTTCAAACACACTGCGGCCGCATGTATTATTTGTTACTCTGAATACGTTTAACAGACACACATTTCAGTTTCCAGGAAACATACAGTATGACTATGATCTGAAGTACACACAAAACTACTGCGTTGTATATATATATATATATATATATATATATATATATATATATATTAGGACTGTCAGTCGATTAAATATGTAATCGCGATTAATCGCATGATGTCCATAGTTCATCGCAAATTAATCGCACATTTTTTATCTGTTCTAAATGCACCTTAGAGGAATATTTTTCAAGTTTTTAATACTCTTATCAACATATGAGTGGACAAATATGCTTTATGCAAATGTTTGTTTATTATCATTGGAACAATGACAAATATTCTCCTGAATATTCTCAACACAACAACCTCTCTCTCTCTCTCTCTCTCTCTCTCTCTCTCTCTCTCTCTCTCTCTCTCTCTCTCTCTCTCTCTCTCTCTCTCTCTCTCTCTCTCTCTCTCTCTCTCTCTCCCTCTCCTGACAGCCCGTCAGTAGTGGTAGTGGTGGGATAGATGTGGAAAGGGTCTTTTATTAATGTTTTCATCCTGGGGAAAACAATATTATATAGGGTTACATCTGATTGCACTTCTGAGCTTTTCTAGGCTCGGACAACTCCAAAAAAAGGATAATCTTCAATGATTACACACTTTTAATTTGAATAAGTTGCCCCATCTTGGTGAATTGAACCATATAAAGGATGCAGGAGAAAGGTGGTGTTGTTTTGAATGATGTGAGTTTGTGCCATCATGTTTCCTGGAACAAACTGAGGTCTAAAAGGTCATAAAACGTGCAGAAATGACATGAAAAGTGTAAAAATAAGACAGTTTCTGCGCCCTCTGGTGGACAGACACTGCACTGCAGGACACTGTGTTTTGTAACTACAGTATGACATGAATGTAATGGTGTTTCAATAGAAAATACCTTGCAAAACATATGTATATTCACTTGTATAGAGAAAGGAGAGTCTAGATGTTCCCACATGTGGAATAAGATCTGTTTTACTCCGTTTGACGACCTGTTGGCCTCCGGTGGTGTAGATAATGTCAGCGCCGTATAGATAGGGCTCTGGATAATGTGTTAAAATAATACACTTTTGACACATGAATCAAAGAAAACAGGCCTTTTCAACAGTCAAAACTAATCAAACAAAAGAGGGAAAACTCAAATAAAATTGTAATGACCTTAAATAGTCTTTATTTCTTTCTATGTATAGGTCTTTGTAACTTTAAAATAAATGTAAAAACGGTGCCTCGAGGCTCCGTAGGTTGTGTCTCTTTACAGGAGGCACCCTGGGAATTGTAGTCCTTTATATAATGTACTTGACTACAGTCGTCACAAATACTGGCTCTAACTCTCTATACTGTCTGTAAGGCTTTCCAGAAACTTGAGCAGAGCCTACCGTGTTTTACTCTTAAAATAAACCAGAATTATAGAGAAAAATTCGTGTGTTTTTGAGGGCTTTCTTATGTTTTCCTGCCAATGTACTGGTTCCAGTCCACTAGGTGGCGGTAATGCACTTACTGGTCGGTTGCCATAGAAGAAGAAGCGATGCTGATGATGACGTATGAGGCTTACGCAAGGAGTACGTAACGCACGTTGTGTGCAACCCTCGTCCTGCACGTTGACATTGTGACAGTCCTCTGCACTCTCTCAGGTAAACCGCTTATTATTCTGTCTTTATTAACATTATAACTCTTAATTATAGATAATAACATTAAAGTGAAGCTAGTGGAGACTTCCTGTTGAGTTGTGTTGTGTTTAAAGTACGTTAGAGGAGAGAAACAGGCTAATGTTAGCTTAGCTGCTAGGAGACCTGCTAACCTTTATTACTGTTTCTAACCTTACTTCCATTAGCTTTGATGCTAACACTCAGTCAGGTTTTAAATGGTTTATTGGTCATGTACACAGCTACAGTGTAGAAAAACAGGTTCCTCAGACAAGGCAATATAAGTATATATAAGACATAAAACAAATACACCTACAATTCACCTAAAAACTACAATAAAAACGACTTGAAAACACCTACAAACAACAACAGCTGTGGTTGCTTCGTTAGCTCTGATGCTAACCCACCCTGAGGTTAACCCAGGATATCTTCCAGCAAGAGGATCACATGTCAGCTTATTGTTAATATGTAATGTCTGTGTACTCCCTCTGATCTGTTATGTGTTATTAGTGTCTTCATCTTGATCATTGATCTATAATATAATTGAGCCTCTGGTCATACAGTATATATATGTTCTCATATGGTCATACAGTATATATATATTATCATATGGTCATACAGTATATATATATATATGTTCTCAATGCTCTGTTGCTGCTGTGTTATAACATCATGGAGGGATGCTGCTGTCATTGTGCTGCCCTTCAAACACAACACTGTGAAAACATTACATAACTATTACATATAATAGTTATTGTGCTGTCTGTCTGCTGAGGGACTAACAGAGATGATATATAGTTCAGTAGTGTCAGTGAAGGAGAGGAGGAGAGGAGGTGAGGAGGAGAGGAGGAGGAGAGGAGGAGAGGAGGTGAGGAGGAGGAGAGGAGGAGAGGAGGAGAGGAGGTGAGGAGGAGGAGAGGAGGAGAGGAGGTACTCCTTCATTTACATGTGAGAACACCAATAGAGATCTCAAACACACAGGAGAGGAAGCATCAGTAGAACCTCCTTAAACTAAAGTGGACATGACCTTACCTGGCAGCTCGATGTCTGGATCAGTGATTTCATGACTGTCGTCCTCTCATGTTCATAATCATTTGATACCACAGAAGGTGGACTAGTTAAATGTAAAAGAAGAACCAGTTTATCTGGACTAAAGTCCTCACAGCAGGGTCAGGAGTAAATATACATCCCTGCCGATAACTCAAGGTATTTGCCTGATGACACAGAATGAAGGAAGCCCACACATGTTGTCTTCTGCCCTCGATGACTGTCTGTGTGTTCTGTGTGTATCTGTTATTAATATTAGTGTTTAATCACTAATGAACAAAGGGATATAAAACATAGCATGATTTAGATACTTCTCTACGTGTCCTAACAGCTGTGAAGAACCATTTGAGTCTCATAAGCAGTGAAGTCATGGCTCCTGGTTATCCTCAGAAGGAAGTAGGAGACTCCATCCGAGTTCATCTGTTATAACGTGTTTACTGCAGTGTCCCTCACTCCCTCACTAAACACATCAGACTCTCCAGAGGTCTGTACTACGAAGCCGGTTCAACCTAACCTGGATATGTTTGAGTTACCCGGCTTACCTAATCCACAAGGGTTCAAATCACAAATCAAAACTCACCTCTTCAGACCTAATGTTGTGTTTTATATATTTTAAGTGTGTTGTTTTAATTATGTTTTAATGATTTTTTACTCTTTAAAGTGTCTTTGAGCTTCTAGAAAAGTGCTCTATAAATAAAATGCATTATTATTATTATAAATATGCCAAAACTACTGTTTCTGTTTTTTCTTTGTACTGTTTCTGTTTCTGATTTGATGTAAAGCGTCTGAGCACTAGGAAAAGCACTATCAATATCCAATGTATTATTATTATTATTATTATTATTATTATTATTATTATTATTATTAAACCTGCCCCCAAATGTTCAGGTATTTCCCCATAAAGCACAGAAGAAGCGGTGTTATCGTTAGTTTGAACTGTGACTGAACCCTGTGTTACTCTCTGACAGCAGGATGGGAGCCTCTCTCTCTTCAGTCTCTGCTCCCACGGTCTGGGCGGAGGCCGTGATTTCTGCCGCCCCCCCCGCCCGGATGCCCCATGCACCAGGAAGCCCCTCCTAAAGGTGAATTAGCACACCTGGATGCGGATCATTCACATTTACACCGTGAATAGTTTACAGCATCACAATAAATAAGTCAATAATCGATAATCAAGTTAAAAAACCTTTCAAGAATTTAAAAGTTTGAGAGCAGAGGGGATGAATGATTTTGAAAAGTGAGTTGTCTTAAGAGCAGATAGATAATATCTACACCTTGATGGCAACAGATGAAATGAGTCTATAAGAACATGACCTACAGAACAACGCTGACATGAAACCAGTAACTGCATGAGATGCTTTGTTTGACCTGAACCTGTCTCTGTGTCTCAGTGCCCCCCCCCGCAGAGTGCCCCATGCACCAAGCTCCTCCTCCTGCTGAAGGTAAGATGAGTTTCTGAGAATAAACATTAAACCTGAATATGTTGATACAGACGTCTGTTTTCTTCCACTAAATGTTGACTCTTGGACGTCTGGACTGTGTCTGGACTGTGAAACAAAGCTTGAATACTAATAACACTATTGTAGCCTGGTCTTTATCGGACACTGTGCACAAAAACTTTAAACAAAACCAACACACGGCGACATTCAGAGGTTCAATTAGAAGATGTTTTTGCTATCAAGTTCTGCCATGTTTTACCCAAGCTTCTCTGTGTCTCAGTGCCCCCCCCCGCAGAGTGCCCCATGCACCAAGCTCCTCCTCCTGCTCAAGGTAAGATGAGTTTCTGAGAATAAACACATGTGCATTTCATCTGAACTTCAGGTCCTCCTCCTGCAAACGCATCGATGCATCAATGATATCTGTCCAACTTGAATTTGAGGAAGTTTGTGAGAAATGGAAAGCGTCTCTTCTTTTGTCTGCTTGGATCTTTTATTTAATGATCTATACCAGGGGGGTCAAACTCAATTTCATCACGGGCCACATCAGCATTATGGTTGCACTCAAAGGGCCGGTTGTGACTTTAAGACTATATAAAAATACATATATAAATATTGAATATATATAAAATAATGTATTATATTACATGATTGCCTCTGCGTTGGATTATTATCGGATAGGGTAAAAACATCATAATTAACTCGGTCTGAAAGCAGAAGTCTGGGGCAAATAATTGCAAGTCTCTTCAGTGAGAATGTCACAAAATGATTTTAAAATAAAAGCAAAATAAAAAAAAGTAACATTTTGAAAAAAAAGTCAATTCTGAGAAAAAAGTATAATTTGAGATGCATTGTGGGACATGTAGTTTATGGGCAACGTGCTTCTGTAAAGCGCCATGTAACCGTATAACAAACATATTATATTCTTTGCAAGCTCTTGTGGGGCCACATCAAGTCGCGGGCCGGATTTGGCCCCCGGGCCTTGAGTTTGACACCCCTGATTTATACTGTCAATGTTTTATATTGAAAGGAAAACACCCCATGTTCTTGTGGTGTGCTTATTGATGTCAGTAAACTATTGATATGTTTGTGAACACTGAAGTTGAAATGTGACCCAAAAGCCTCTCTGCACAGAGTCTCTCAGGTTCCTGTTATTGATCCGTCTGAAAGTGTTTCTGATTGAAATCCTTCTCTCTCTCCCTGCAGCGTCCCCCCCTCCAGAGTGTCCGATGCACAAAGCAGACCCAGCAGCGTCCCCCCCCCCCAGAGTGTCCGATGCACAAAGCAGACCCAGGACCAGCTCACCAGGAGAGAGCCTATGAGTTTGTGGCGTGTCCCATGAAGGGATCGGAGGAGAAGAGCGACATCGACCCCTCCAACATGGTACCTGAGAACAAGAGGATTACATCATGGTCTCTCCCCCCCTCTGTTGCCCCATATTCAATTCAAAGTGTCTCCCCTGCAGATGCCCCCCCCGAACCAGACCCCCGCCCCGGACCAGCCCTTCGACCTGGACCGGATCAGAGAGGAGTCGACCATCCCTCGCCACGACTCTGGGAACAAGTGGGTGTACCCGTCAGAGCAGATGTTCTGGAACGCCATGCTGCGCAAAGGGTACGTTCCCCTGATCCCCTTCAGACATCTGGAGACCCTTCATCTCTACTTTGAACTGGCAGCATGCCTGATTGGTTGAATGCTTCCTCCTGTAATACCCACTGTGTCCTGCAGGTGGCGCTGGCGTGAAGACGACCTCGGAGCTCAGGATATGACGAACATCATCAAGATCCACAACACCAACAACGAGCAGGCCTGGCAGGAGATCCTCAAGTGGGAGGCCATGCACGCTGGGTGAGGAGCAACGTGCACCTGTACTCACCTGTACTCACCTGTACGATACACCTGTACTCACCTGTACTCATCTGTACGATACACCTGTACTCACCTGTACTCACCTGTACTCACCTGTACTCACCTGTACGATACACCTGTACTCACCTGTACTCACCTGTACGATACACCTGTACTCACCTGTACTCACCTGTACGATACACCTGTACTCACCTGTACTCACCTGTACTCACCTGTACGATACACCTGTACTCACCTGTACTCACCTGTACGATACACCTGTACTCACCTGTACTCACCTGTACTCACCTGTACGATACACCTGTACTCACCTGTACTCACCTGTACTCACCTGTACGATACACCTGTACTCACCTGTACTCACCTGTACGATACACCTGTACTCACCTGTACTCACCTGTACGATACACCTGTACTCACCTGTACTCACCTGTACGATACACCTGTACTCTGAAGTATCTGGGGAGTACTGCAGAGTACACGATACACCTGTACTCTGAAGTATCTGGGGAGTATCTGTGAAGTACACGATACACCTGTACTCTGAAGTATCTGGGGAGTATCTGTGAAGTACTGAAGAGTACACGATACACCTGTACTCTGAAGTATCTGTGAAGTACTGAAGAGTACACGATACACCTGTACTCTGAAGTATCTGTGAAGTACTGAAGAGTACACGATACACCTGTACTCTGAAGTATCTGGGGAGTATCTGTGAAGTACACGATACATCTGTACTCTGAAGTATCTGGGGAGTATCTGTGAAGTACACGATACACCTGTACTCTGAAGTATCTGGGGAGTATCTGTGAAGTACACGATACACCTGTACTCTGAAGTATCTGGGGAGTATCTGTGAAGTACTGAAGAGTACACGATACACCTGTACTCTGACGTATCTGGGGAGTATCTGTGAAGTACACGATACACCTGTACTCTGAAGTATCTGGGGAGTATCTGTGAAGTACACGATACATCTGTACTCTGAAGTATCTGGGGAGTATCTGTGAAGTACACGATACACCTGTACTCTGAAGTATCTGGGGAGTATCTGTGAAGTACTGAAGAGAACATACACCTGTACTCTATCTGTGAAGTATCTGTAAAGTATATGTGAAGTTCTGCAGAGTACACGATCCACCTGTACTCTCAGGTATCTCTGAAGTATCTGTCAAGTATCTGAAGTACCTCAGAGTATCTAATGTCCCTGTGTTCCTCAGGTACCTGTAAAGTATGTATAAGTACCTCAGAGTATCTAACGCTCCTCTGTTCCTCAGGTATCTGTAAAGTATGTATAAGTACCTCAGAGTATCTAATGTCCCTCTGTTCCTCAGGTATTTGTAAAGTATGTATAAGTACCTCAGAGTATCTAATGTCCCTCTGTTCCTCAGGTATCTGTAAAGTATCTGAAGTACTTCAGAGCATCTAATGTCCCTGTGTTCCTCAGGTATCTGTAAAGTATGTATAAGTACCTCAGAGTATCTAACGCCCCTGTGTTCCTCAGGTATCTGTAAAGTATGTATAAGTACCTCAGAGTATCTAACGCTCCTCTGTTCCTCAGGTATCTGTAAAGTATGTATAAGTACCTCAGAGTATCTAATGTTCCTCAGGTATTTGTAAAGTATGTATAAGTACCTCAGAGTATCTAATGTCCCTGTGTTCCTCAGGTATCTGTAAAGTATCTGAAGTACTTCAGAGTATCTAATGTCCCTGTGTTCCTCAGGTATCTGTAAAGTATGTATAAGTACCTCAGAGTATCTAACGCCCCTGTGTTCCTCAGGTATCTGTAAAGTATGTATAAGTACCTCAGAGTATCTAACGCCCCTGTGTTCCTCAGGTATCTGTAAAGTATGTATAAGTACCTCAGAGTATCTAATGTCCCTCTGTTCCTCAGGTATCTGTAAAGTATGTATAAGTACCTCAGAGTATCTAATGTCCCTCTGTTCCTCAGGTATCTGTAAAGTATGTATAAGTACCTCAGAGTATCTAACGCCCCTCTGTTCCTCAGGTATCTGTAAAGTATGTATAAGTACCTCAGAGTATCTAACGCCCCTGTGTTCCTCAGGTATCTGTAAAGTATGTATAAGTACCTCAGAGTATCTAATGTCCCTCTGTTCCTCAGGTATCTGTAAAGTATGTATAAGTACCTCAGAGTATCTAATGTCCCTGTGTTCCTCAGGTATCTGTAAAGTATCTGAAGTACTTCAGAGTATCTAATGTCCCTGTGTTCCTCAGGTATCTGTAAAGTATGTATAAGTACTTCAGAGTATCTAATGTCCCTGTGTTCCTCAGGTATCTGTAAAGTATCTGAAGTACTTCAGAGTATCTAATGTCCCTCTGTTCCTCAGGTATCTGTAAAGTATGTATAAGTACCTCAGAGTATCTAATGTCCCTCTGTTCCTCAGGTATCTGTAAAGTATGTATAAGTACCTCAGAGTATCTAATGTCCCTCTGTTCCTCAGGTATCTGTAAAGTATGTATAAGTACCTCAGAGTATCTAACGCCCCTGTGTTCCTCAGGTATCTGTAAAGTATGTATAAGTACCTCAGAGTATCTAACGCCCCTGTGTTCCTCAGGTATCTGTAAAGTATGTATAAGTACCTCAGAGTATCTAATGTCCCTCTGTTCCTCAGGTATCTGTAAAGTATGTATAAGTACCTCAGAGTATCTAACGCCCCTGTGTTCCTCAGGTATCTGTAAAGTATGTATAAGTACCTCAGAGTATCTAATGTCCCTCTGTTCCTCAGGTATCTGTAAAGTATGTATAAGTACCTCAGAGTATCTAACGCCCCTCTGTTCCTCAGGGAGTGTCCGTGCGGTCCCACTCTGAAGAGATTTGGAGGCAAAGCCAAAGACTTTTCCCCCAGAGCTCGAATGCGCCACTGGATGGGGTGAGAAATACAGCTTTCATTGATCACAAGCTTTTCATTGATCACAAGCTTCAGATCATGTGAGTCAATCACACCAGTTCCTCTACTCACTGATGTAGTTTCCACTCATTTATGGCGCTTTTCCACTACACGGCCTCGCTCGGCCTCGCTCGGTATGGCTGGGCCTCGTTAGGCCTCGTTAGGCCTGGCTCACTTTATGATGCATTTCCATTACAGTTTAGGAACTGGGGCAGTAACTATAGTAACGCAGTGTAGGCGGAGCCGTGACGTCATCTTCAATGAGAACCACAAAACCAACACAGCCGTTAGCTGTTAGCACTCAGAGCTCACAGCTCCTCATATCTGTTCAGAAACTAGACAAAAGTTAAACAAGTACAAACCACAGACTGCCTGTGTCATGGTGAATACAGTCGCTGCTTTATTTATGTCTGTAGGCCGTTGTTGTGAGTGTGGACGGTCGGAGCATATACTGCGTTAGCTTAGCCAATCTCCATTTAGAAAACACGCATTTTAAAAGGTTTTTCGCCTGCCGTCTGTCTGCAGACTTGACAAAGCATTAATTCATGGTTTTTACTAACCGGTATCAGTATGTTGTTACTTCATCATTTAGAAACGTGTATTACAATTAAATCACGGTCAAATATGTTGTAGTTGTAGCCTCCTTGCCAGCGATGCTCTCTCTAGTTTAGAATACTCAGCCCGGTTGTTGGCCCGGAAAGAACCTCGATTTTGTAGAGCCAGAAAACTGTGAAAAAGTACCGCTAGCTGGAACTACGCCAAGTGGAAACGCAACCAAAAACGGGCCGGGCGCGGCACGCTTAAAGCTGTAGTGGAAATGCACCATTAGTAACACAAAAGAGGGTTAGCAAGAGACTGTCGTTATGGATGAGTCTGACTTTTATTCTGGACGCTTTGGTCTGACAGTGAACACGTCCACCAGTTTGTCCTCTTTCATACTCCCGTTATTAACTTCCTTCTCTTCCTCCTCCTCTTCCTCCTCCTCATCAGATACGAGCTCCCGTTCGACCGTCACGATTGGATCATTGATCGCTGTGGGCGGGAGGTTCGTTACATTATTGATTACTACGACGGAGAGATCAACAGGGAGAATTATCGCTTCTCCACTCTGGACGTCCGCCCAGCCGTCGACTCTTTAGGAGCCGTGTGGGACCGCATGAAGGTCACCTGGTGGCGCTGGTCCTCCTAAAGAGACACCTGGACACCTGGAGGACACACCTGACGTCCTGAAGGACACACCTGGACACCTGGAGGAGACTTCAGGAAATATTACGTCTCCTTTAGGACACCTGGACACCTGAAGAAGACATCTGGACGTCCTGAAGGAGACGTGATGTGTCCTTAAGGAGACGTGATGTGTCCTGAAGGAGACTTCATGTGTCCTAAAGGAGACTTCATGTGTCCTAAAGGAGACTTCATGTGTCCTGAAGGAGACTTCATGTGTCCTAAAGGAGTCAGGAACAGGAAATGGACTAAGACAGTTTTGTGTCTCCTTTAGGACACCTGGACACCTGAAGAAGACATCTGGACGTCCTGAAGGAGACGTGATGTGTCCTTAAGGAGACGTGATGTGTCCTTAAGGAGACGTGATGTGTCCTGAAGGAGATGTGATGTGTCCTGAAGGAGACTTCATGTGTCCTGAAGGAGACTTCATGTGTCCTAAAGGAGACTTCATGTGTCCTAAAGGAGACGTGATGTGTCCTGAAGGAGATGTGATGTGTCCTGAAGGAGACTTCATGTGTCCTAAAGGAGACTTCATGTGTCCTAAAGGAGACGTGATGTGTCCTGAAGGAGACGTGATGTGTCCTGAAGGAGACTTCATGTGTCCTGAAGGAGACTTCATGTGTCCTAAAGGAGACTTCATGTGTCCTAAAGGAGACTTCATGTGTCCTAAAGGAGTCAGGAACAGGAAATGGACTAAGACAGTTTTGTCTCAGTTCCTCTGTGCATCATATCCTCTCTGAGAGTGTTTTGGGTTTTGTTGAATATTCTGTTCATCATGTCTTTCTTTGCTGATGTTCCTTTAGACTGTTGTAGCTTCATCTCATCCGGCAGCTCTGAACCATCTAGAGATCATCTCTAGAGACGTCTCTAAACCATCTAGAGACGTCTCTGAACCATCTAGAGATCATCTCTAGAGACGTCTCTGAACCATCTAGAGATCATCTCTAGAGACGTCTCTGAACCATCTAGAGATCATCTCTAGAGACGTCTCTAAACCATCTAGAGATCATCTCTAGAGACGTCTCTGAACCATCTAGAGATCATCTCTAGAGACGTCTCTGAACCATCTAGAGATCATCTCTAGAGACGTCTCTGAACCATCTAGAGATCATCTCTAGAGACGTCTCTGAACCATCTAGAGATCAACTCTAGAGACGTCTCTGAACCATCTAGAGATCATCTCTAGAGACGTCTCTGAACCATCTAGAGATCATCTCTAGAGACGTCTCTGAACCATCTAGAGATCATCTCTAGAGACGTCTCTGAACCATCTAGAGATCATCTCTAGAGACGTCTCTGAACCATCTAGAGATCATCTCTAGAGACGTCTCTGAACCATCTAGAGATCATCTCTAGAGGTTCAGACCCAGAGGAGATTCATCATCTCACGGTTCATGAGGCATAGCTGATCATGTGGAAAGGGTCTGAAGGGTCTGAGGTCAGTGCGTTGACTTCAGGAGGGCGTGGTGCAGGGTTTAGAGGCAGACATGAGATGTGATATTCATAATGATGTTCTATAATAACCTGAAACTAAGAGAGTAGTGTGTACGAGCTGAAGGCCTCCTGGATGTTCTCTACTGTCACGCGCTGTGGGGAGCAGAGCGAGGTCGACTCCTCTCCACTTGGACTCCTGTGACCTCTCAGTTCTGCCTCTAAAGCTGCACTCGCTCACATCATGACGGGTAGTGTACTCTCCCTGCAGGGTGTGGAGTTATATTATACAGGACCAGGAGGGATTCAACAGGATAACAGGACACAGGGTTAACTCTGAGGAGGTCAGAATCAGATAAACTGTAATACTCTCTAATGTTTGAGAAGAGCCTTTGATTGGATCTGCGTTATCAGCATTGAGTCTTTCTTTTGTATTTATTATGTGAGGAGTGGCTGTGTCCCTGTGTGCAGACTCCTTCCTTCTTGGATGTTAAACATTTGACCAGCTCTCAACTGAATTTCAATAAAGCTGCTCGTCTTTCTGCTTCTGAATAAACTTTGTGTTAATGTGTGATCCTGCAGCTGGCCACCAGAGGGAGCTGTCCCTGCAATCTACAGAGTAACTGCAGGGAACCAACCATACAAGAACATTTAGTGAGAGGCCCCTCCCCTCTCCGTGTGAGGCCCCTCCCCTCTCCGTCCCTCTAAATTTTAAATATGAGGTTTTGTGTGCACAGACACGTGCACAGTGCAGGAAGAGTGTGCACGTGTCTCTGCAAGCATCACTAAGTCAGCTTCATTGTGAGTGTGCAAAGAAAGCGTGTGTGTGTGTGTGTGTGTGTGTGTGTGTGTTGTGTGTGTGTGTGTGTGTGTGTGTGTGTGTGTGTGTGTGTGTGTGGTGTGTGTGTGTGTGTGTGTGTGTGTGTGTGTGTGTGTGTGTGTGTGTGTGTGTGTGTGTGTGTGTGTGTGTGATTGTGTGTGTGTGTGTGTGTGTGTGTGTGTTGGAGATATGATAAATATCAGACTCTCAGAGCCGGGGGCTGTTTGGACATCTGCTGTGCAGCTATGTGGCACATGGGAAATCAACATGCACACATTATTTCAGGAAACACACACACTGTATTTAAAGGAGACGTCCACTCAGAGAGACGCCACGTTTCCTCCACAGATGGCTGAACCAATGAGACGTCACGCTGAGAGTCATGTGTCCTAAATGTCAGGCGTCGGACCCCATCAGGATTAAAGACATGTTTACCTCCAGCACACACACACACAGACCTGCTACACACACACCCCAGCATACATTGCAGCAGGCAACATGTTGCTCCATGCACCTTCTGAGGCTAAAGGCATGTGAGGAAACCTGAGGTCAACTTGAAAGAGTCTGTGTTTTCTAGGTGTTAGTGCATGTACGTGCACTGCGCACAATATCTACAAGTCATTAGAAAATTGATATAAGTTGCAAACAGATGAATGTTATGGATGGTCTTTCAAAAGTGTAATATCTGTTGTGTGTGTGTGTTGCTCAGTTGTGCATGAGTGTGTGTTGCTCTGTATGATCAGCTGGTCTTCTACCTGTATCCTGTCACAGTGTCACACCTGCATTACTATACCTGAGGAAGGTGTGTATACTAATCTGCAGTTTCTCTCCCCTCCCCTCTTCTCTCTCTCTCCTCTCCTCTCTCTCTCTCTCCTCTCTCCCCTCCTCTCTCCTCTCTCTCCTCTCCTCTCTCTCCTCTCCTCTCTCCTCTCCTCTCTCCTCTCCTCTCCTCTCCTCTCTCCTCCCCTCCTCTCTCCTCTCCTCTCCTCTCTCCTCTCTCCTCTCTGCTGCTGCTTCTCGGTTTATTTCCTGGATTCAAACATAACAAATAAAACCTGATAGTGAATATAAAACCTCCCCCCCTGTATGTTCAGAGGCGTTAAGGTGTAATTGAATCGTGCATCACCTGCTGCTCTGATATTAATCCCATAATGCAGAAGGATGGAGGATTTTGGTTATTCGTTGCAGAATTCATTAAAATCCAATTTTGTGGAATTGAAATAAAAACAGCCGTTTGCTGTGATAGAGTGGAGACAGAGACAAAGAGAGAGACAAAGAGATTACACTCAAATATTATTTTATATCAAGGACATGTTCTGCTACCTGTGCAATGCATTCTGGGATCCTTTCTCACTCCTGGTAGCACGTTTTATGAAGCCTGTGTCTTGCATTATAAATATACCTGAAATCTGAATAGTTAGGATTTAAAGCATTTTATTATTAAATATAAGGTAACATCATAATACATCTTAACTGATGATACTCACTGGTTTTATTTAGCATCATATTATATTTTTAACAGTTTGAATACATAATAATCTTGTTTATAGAGCATTTCATCAGATATAATGTATTACATGATGAAAGGTTGCTTTGAGTGAAATACATTTCTTTCTTGCACAGGTTTTATTACAGCCCTGCTTTGACTCATGATGTATCTGTGTACACATATATCACTTCAATTATTCAATACGTCCTTTGTACTGAAGTATTCAAAAGTAAAAATGACATGTTTAATATAAATGATTTGCTGTGGCCAATTGTGTTCATTGCACTGACAGACCCTAACTCTCTGATACCCCCCAGAGACTAGAGCCACGCTACACAAAGCAGAGAGCAACACCTAGAACAACTGAAGCATAGACATTTAAAAAAAGGACAGCTACTGTATCGACATTTTAAAATTATATTTAAAGAAAAAGCCCAAACTAAACAGCAGGGCTTTATTTCAGTATTAACTAAAGAATAAAAGACAGCAAAGCTGACATCAAATCTTTGCTGAGCCTAAAGATAAATAACATAGTGAACATAAATATATTGCAATGCTCAGTGCAGCAGCATCCAACCGTCTCTAGTCCTTGGATATTACATGTCACTGCTTGCATGCACGGAGCACCCGTAGCGCGGCGTAAAGTGAAATACATGAACTCCACTTAAAGCAAGGAATAAACACTTTAATTCAATCAAATCTAATTATAAATCTGTCAGTAACACATTAAGTGTGTAGGTGTTACAGAAAGTGTTGTTTTCTCTGCAGCGACACACACCTGTTTCTCTTAATGCTAACAGCACATTAGCTGCTGTGCTAATTACAGTAACAGAGGGGCTCTGGCTCATTAGCTCGTTAGCTCGTTAGCATTAAAGCAACGCTGCTGTGATTAATGCAACGCCTCGTAATTAAACAACAAGGTGTCAGAGATTAGTGTTCACTTTGTAAGAAAGCAGGAATATATAAGGGGGTTTATGCTAATGCTAACGCTAATATTATGCTAATGCTAACGCTAATATTATGCTAATGATAACGCTAATATAATGATAATGCTAACGCTAATATAATGCTAACAGTGTTTCCAGTGTTTTATTAGCAGCAGAGTCTCTCCAAAGCTCAGAATTAATTTGTCTATTGAGGATTTAAATGAGTTTCCTGTCAGTCTGTCTGCTCTGTTTACATCTGAGCTTTCATTACAGCTCAACCTTCAATATGAGACCATCGAATAAAGACTTACCACACACTGATGAGCAGCAGGATGGCAGGAAAACATGCTATATATATTCATATATTGTAAAAAACACTCAGAGGTTATGAGAGAAACGAGTCAGAAATCATGATTTAATCAGTTTTAACCTTTATACAGTCTATGGTTTTAACTCACAATAAATGAAATGTGCAGAGGGAAACGTGGTTAAAGGTCCCATGTCATGCTTTTCCGGTTCTTACCCGTCCCCTTGTGTTCTGAAGCTTCTGCATGTAAACGGTCTGCAGAGTCACAAACCCTCAAAGTACACCCTGTTAGAGTCAAACTCTAACACAGAAAAGACCTCCCCAAAACGCCTCGTTGGAGATTTCTCATTTACTTCCTGGGCATCGCTACGTAGGGATACCCAGTAGCCACGCCCAGAGCTATGGCCGCACCCTCTGCCAGCCTTTCACGAAACAAAGCTTCCCAAACCTTTCAGCATTCATGCCGGATATGCACAGCGTAGGGCACTGAAGAACGATGCTGTTCCTACT